GGTGGTGAGGCACTGGAACAGGTCACCCAGAGAGGCTGTGGATGCCCCATCTCTGGAAGAGTTCAAGGCCAGGCTGGATGGGGCTTTGAGCAACCTGGTCTGGTGGAAGGTGTCCCTGCCCATGGCAGGGGGATTGGAACTAGATGATCTTTAAGGTCCCTTCCAACCCAAGCTGTTCTATGATTCTATGAAGACTCATATCATCTCTTTCAACACAACCCACAGATTGTAGAAGTTGTATCCCCCTTGCTTACCTGTTGAAGTGCATCACACCCCCCCTATGAATCATTCCAGGGTGGCACTCTGCAACTCCAGATGCTTCTCTTTAGCATTTTCTTCACCTGAAGCCATGACATTAAGTTCAGTTTGACTTTGATTTTGCTGTGCGTGGCTTTGTAGGGAATCACGTCCAACTTGCAACGCATGCAGCTACCCATCTTGTATGTGAATGGCTCCAAACCATCCACTCAGACCTGAAGATAACAGAATTTGCCTAGTGCTTCATAACATGGACCTCATCTTTCAGCAAATTTCCTCCCATTCAATATTTTGCAAAACACCTCTGCAAATCATCATGCAGCTCTGTGGCAAGAATGGCAATGATTTATGGCAAAAGTGGTACTCGGGTGTGAATTAAGTTTTTATAGCTGTCATCTGAAATGCTTTCACAGTGTCAAGTCTCTTATTTTGTGGAGGATCAAACACCATGTGGCCAGCTGGTTTTGTCAGATTTTGAACGTCAGTTTTGAAGCCCATTAGATCATCCAGCTTGCAGTTTCTCAGAAAGGAGGTTGGACTGTATGGGGAGTGCAAGAGCGGTTAAGGGGATGGTTTCCAGACACTAGAAAAAACCCCTAGTGTTAGCAGCTGGGCTCCATTTCTTCTGGCTTAAAGTGTGAAAAAAAAGTCTCAGTAATTCCTGGCTGTGAGCATTGCTGCCAAGAGGGAGCAGTGGTGGCAGCTCAGGTCTGTAGGCCAGGAATGAATGGGACTTGAGGGGGTGAGTAGGACTCTTACAGCTGTTTCTTACACATCTGCCTTCAGCTTGACCTTTCAAAAAGACTCTGCTCTGTCTTCCCCTTGAAATTTGCAGAGGAGTGACCATCCCCGCATTGCTCTTTGGGAATGCTTTTCTCTTGGTATCTTGCTGTGACTTTCAAGGAGGAATAGAAACTTTCCGAGGAAGATTTGCAGAAGGTTGTAATGGGTGAAAAAAAAATGTTCACCTACCAAGGGCAAAGAAACCGGGGGAGGGCAGGTGGGGAAATGGTGCTGATTTGAAGCTGATGTTTGAGCTGTGATGGAGTTTCAGTGAACCACACCACAAGGGCTGCTGACTCATAAAAAGGTGGAATACCCAAAAGGAAAGCAATGATCCCAGAGCAATTGCATCCCATTATGGTACGTCAGACATGTCTTTGATTGCACAAGCCTATAATTAGTTATAGAGGATTGCGCTGTTTCTGAAGAAAGAAGAGGAAACAAAAAGAATTATTCCCTGCATTAGTGACTAGCAGGATCAGTGGATAATGCTCAAGGAGTGCTTTGAATAAAATGTATTCACTGTTGATAGATTTAAATTTATTTTTGCAATTTCAGAGTAAATGCCAATGATTCAGTAAAATTTAACAAATCTTAAGGGACACCACAGCGAAGATCTGAAAGTCTAGGGATTAATTTTAGGGCCTGGTTCCTATCCACTCTGCATGTAAGAAACCCGTGCAAGTATGTTAAGTATCTTTTGAAAATTATTTTGAAAATTAAGATCTCTTGGGTTTGTGACAAAAAGAAAGAAAGGAAACAACTGAATTTAATATGCACCAAAAATCGTAGGAATAGCTGCATTACATACTTGCAAACACTAGATGGGGTGTAAGGAAAGAGTGAAGGGGAAAGCCAGGGAACAGCAAAATCTTGGAGGTCCAAGCTACCTCAGGGACAGAAACTGAATTTAACTAAGCTGAGCACGGCTTCCTCCACGTTTTCAAAAGGCAAAACCGATCATAAATGGACAAGGACCTGTTTGCCTACTTCGTCCATCCGCCTGGCAGTGTGGATCTTCACAGTGTAGATATTTTAACATGCACAACGCACCACTATTAGTCTCATTAACTACATTTTATTCCTATATTGAAAGAGTACATACATGTGTCAGTAGCATAGATTGCATCAGCTCCTCTTTACTAAAAAAAGCTCAGTGTATATACAGCCTTAAAATGTTCCCACTGTAGCTAGCACATTGTATTAAACCTATTCTTATATAAACTACTGTTCTTTACATAGTTTTATGTATTTCAGAATACATTAAAAATTACCAGGTGGCATGTTCTGTTATCCTTTCTCACTGTCCTGACAGTCTAACAGCTGCAATAAATTATGGATATGCATAGGTTATTTACTATTCAAAACAATTTCTATTACAGAATGTAGGCCATGGAGGCAATACTGTTGTTGCATTGGAAAGGCAGAAAGTATTTTCGATGCTTAGTGACGTCTGTTGTAATGGCTGCATCCCGCACCTTTTCCTTGCTAGCAAGAAGAGCAGAAAAAGGCTCTTTTTGAGACCCTGCCTTTGTTTAATCCTGTGAAATGTACTGTAACCTTTTCTTCATCAACTGGTGCTTTTTGCCCTCTCTCCTACCTGCTTTGACCTCCCGTGCACTAACTTGGAACAGGCAGGCCAGCGTCTGACTCCAGGCTCCTCCTGAAGCTGGGAGGGGTGCTGAGCTGGGCTTTCTCACCAACCAACACAGCTACTCAGCAGAAGCGGCAGCTTGCCCGCAGAATTCATTTCCCTCCATTTCTTCTTCTGGTCCCATGTGAATGAGCTACAGTCCTGTGGATCACTTTATCCTCTTTATTAAGCCTGTCTCTGCAGAGACCATTTTAATTTAATTCAGCTTGATAGCCAAGTCCCCAAATCCCCTCGGCTCTCGAAACACTACAATCTCCTGGTATTTGATACACAAGCCCTTTTCCACCATCCTCTTGCTTCCCATCAAGTAAAAAATGCCAAGATCCAATTTCTCTAAACTAGCTTTTAGCTCCGACTGATGCCCCTTGCTGAGTGAATGGTACTCACAGTGAGCCCTAAAAGAAACTGCTGGTGCACTGAGAAATGCCCCTTCTCATGAGAATATCTGACTCTATTTAAACATGCACGGTCGACAGAAAAGCAATAAAAAATGCCTTCCCTCAACACGGGCTAAAGAAACATCACTTGCTGGCCATACCCACTTTAAAAAGTAAACTGGGAACATGGCAAGAAATTGCATTCACTGGCAGACATACGAATCATCTCTTTGTTTTGTCAGATTTGTTAGCTTAATCCTAGGAGAGGTATCGCTAAAACCTACTGTGGAGGGTTGGTTTGCATCTACTGGTCTGATTGAACCACTGGGACCGACATCACATTGGGATTCAGAGGGCAGCGCTCAATACTTCAGATGGCTGGATGGGCTAAGTTGCCAATGTAATTAAGAATAAAACTAGGATGAGCACCTCTATAGGAAAAAACCTAACACGTAATTTAAAAACAGAAAAAAATGAGTTATGTTTCTGACAGGCCAGTAATAATTTTATTTCATAGCAGTGAGGCAAAAGTTGGGGAAGGCTGTGATATGCCAGGTCACTGGTAGGTTATGACTCCTCATGGGAGTCCTTGTGCATAATCCTCTTCTGCAGCACTGTTCACATCTTGGATGTCAGAAAGCCTATGAGAACATCTCTTTTTGTGATAATAGGCCATGTTTCACATGTCCAGGGCAAAAATGAGAAGCTCACTCAGCACAGAGATGGTGAGATAGCCCTGAGTATGAAGGAATAAAGGACAGTTTCCTTTGCTCCGCCTGCTTTACACAAAGCCTTCCTATTATCCAAGGCAGCAGTGCAGCAGTAAGACATGATAAAACAACCTAGTATGCTAAGTGGTATGAAAACGTAAAGAAACATATTGTGTAAGTGAACAAACAAGGGCTTTGATACACAATTTTGTTGGGTAAGGATGGTGCAGAGCCTTTCCAGGAAAACAGTCCTTTGCTGTTATCTTGACAGAGGCTCTGCGTACCAGGACTGCCCTATTTAGGATAACTGAATGCTTTAGTCTGCAGCCGCCCAAAACACCAACGCGGCACTGTCTGTTCACATCCTCCTTTTTAACCTCCAGTGGATTGGCAACCTGGCAAAAGGCTGGAGCCACCAAGAGGAAATTCTTCTTGGAGGCAGCGTTAGCTCTAGCCTGAAACAGCTCCAGCTGCCTTGGTTTCAAAAGACTTGGTGATACTGAAGTCATATTTAGACCTCAGTCAGAAGGAGGATTCCCCAAATAGAGCTTGTGATGACCCAAACCTGAATTTATTGCTTGTGAACTATGCTGGAGGCAGAACACTGGAGAATAAATCATCTCATTGCACACAGATGAGCTACAGCGCGGAGTACATGAATGTAGATGTGTGGTTTAGGCTAAGCTTAAGCTGTGCCTTCTAGAATGAGAGATCGCAACAGATTTACTTGTTAAAACACCCCAGAATCTACTGGGATCATTAGGGAAAGTATGAATTAGGGCAAAATGGGGTGGATTTCTGGAATACCCATCAAAACAGAAAGTGGATGGAATTTGTAGTTGATTCACTCATGGCACCATGCAGACCTCTGTTATCTTCTGTCTGTGTTAACTTGTTAAGATCTCACAGTCCAGAAGTGCCATCTTCTTCTTTTCCTGGCTGCCCAATTACTGTGGGCTGGGCTACTTGTTACACCCAATTTGTTGCTGAAATAGTGAATAATGGAAGAAAAATGGCAATAGATTTTTACTTTCCCTTTAATCTACAATGAATTAAAATGATGCCTCAGACTTACTACAAGCCACAAAGACAGATTTTTGAAGACAGACCTCAAGAAACCAAAATAAAGTGTATTCTGGAACGTTACTGTTTGCTTTTACAATTCATCAGCAACCATGAAGAACTGGCTCTAGTCTTAAAATCATTACTAACATGTTAGTTTAAGAGTCAAGATCATTTCTATGCTTTGTATGGCTTACTCTTCACTTTCTTTATGAGATCTTCAATTCAAGGTAGTTTTCTGTGTAGAATTTAGATCATTCTCTTAGATGTTAACATTAATCCTAATGCACTGCATTCTCCCCTGAATGACTGCAGATTGCAAAGTGTCTTTGAAAAAGGATAAAACGGACATGCCATGCAGTAACCAAGTAAATGCAATCCCTGATTAATATGCAAGTTTGAAAAGTTCAGAAAATGTCATGATACTCCATAGGCGCAGCCTGGTTTTGGAAAGGTCTCTTTTTGTTTTGTTTATGTATAAATGTCATTCTACATGAATTGCACTCCAGCAGCTTTTCATAAACTCAAGTCAATGACAATATGTTCAAATATTTGAGTGTTTCCTTTAAAACTAGAGGCAAAGAAAAAATCTCTTCGATCTGTTGACACAGCTGTGAAAGACCGTGGTGCTTGCACATAGATTTCTTTAAATAATCTGAAGATCTTCTTTTCACCGTCCCACTGGTAAATCTGGGAGAAGGTATAGTCACTTCCCAAGGCTAAGTAGTAATTGTTCTTGAAGGAGAAAGGCTGCAATGTCATGGCTCCTCGGGATGGAAGAGCCTGTATCTCCACAAACTGTTTGCTATTCCATTTCATAACTCTGGAGTCACCTATGAATCTCGTGAGCGTGATGTACAGGTTATCTTGCATCCTGAAACTCTTCACTGCCAAGACATCTTCCATGTTGGGGATTTCACTGTGTGGGACAAACTTCTTGGAAACTTTGTTCCACTGGAGTATAATGGGAACCTGGGAACGGCTAGAGAGGATTAAATGTGATTTCCCGTCTATATCGAGAAACTCAGCATCGGTGTCCCTGAACCACTCATGAAGGGACTGGTATGAGTAAAATCCTTTGTTATTCCACTTGTAGACTGTTGACAAACCTGCTTTAGAGCTATCTGCTATGACAAAAAACATTTCACTGTCTATCTCAAAAAGCTCTATATCATTTGGCTTGGAAATGCGAGATACTTCAATATCCTGGAATTTGACAAACTTTGTCCAGCTTTCATCATACTTGTAAATGTGTGAGCCACCAAACAGCTGTGCCACCACCACAAAGACTTGGTCACCAACAAGAATGGCTTTACATCCCACTATGGACTGACCTATTGCCCAAAGAAAAAAAAAAGCACATATATTAGCACAGTACAAAGCACCCTTTAAACCACAGAGAGATTACCAAATCACCCCTCCCCTTTTTTAAATCTGCACCATCTCATAATTTTATCTTTTGCTACATGCTGTCAGAGCTTCTTTTCCTGCTTTTTTTCTCCCCAATAACCAGAAAGATGACTTCAAAGGTTGGAAATGTCAGAAATGTCACACCCCTCAAAGTGTGCAAGTATGATACACCCTAAAATGGTCATTCCTTTTTATCCAAAATACTTTTTCTTTACCTCTTTGTTCAAACACATGCCCCCTAATATCCAAAACAATTATTTAAGCCAAATTTTATTATTCCCAAATAACAAGATTTGTTATCCCATGACTCAGCAAGAATCTGAAATTCTCTTATTCTTGGAATGTTTATCTTTCCAGCTTAACTAGAAGAATGAAATATAGTCTATTTTTCTTGCTCCAAGAGGGCCAGACTCAGCTTTTTGCTACTGTAAATAGAAATATTGATGCATCTTGCGGATATATCACCTGACAGCAGGACGAAAAAGATAAATCTAAAAGTCTGTTGTTCCTGTTAAGTATTCTTGAGATTATGTTAAACTAGAAATATTTAGGAATATTGCAGTTCCCAGATTAGATCAGATGGGGTTATGGTCCGTTTTGAGAATGTCAAGTCACTATACAAGAACCACATCAAAAAAGTAACAACCAGACTATTTACAAAAGGTTTTGCTGGAAGAAGAGAGGCATTTCTCTCTGAAGCACACAGTTTAAGTAGAACTGTAAGTGCACAGATTCCCCCATGCGTGCTTGGTCACAGTCACTACAGGAGACTCGCCCTGGCATCTCTGCTGGTCCCCTACCCATAGTTGTTTCACAGCTGGCCTGGGATGGTCTTCCACCCTCCCAGTGTAGGAGGGGTGGGATTCATCTCAAGTACCATATGGTATCCGCAATGTAGACAGGAATGCTCAAGCTGATCATCCAGGCTCTTTCTGGTCTAACTTAGTCAAAAAGCACCCCAGAAGAGATTTCATCTGGCCTGCAGATGTCTCCTTTTGCAGAGGACAGCAAGGCCTATTCTCTGCATGTTAGCTCCAAAAGCAGTCTTGACCACTAGCTCAGCTCCATAAGCCCGTGTTGTAAAGGGCTAAATTCAGATATCCGAATGCCAAGCATACAGTTAGTAATGAAACTCCCCATGGAGCACATAGCTGGCTCCTGAGCTCTGCAAAGCACTCTTCAGGCTCCACGAGAGGCACTTTACGTGCCTGTGTCCCCTGGCAAAAGTCTCTCGCTCACTTACATTTCAGAGTCCAGAGCTCAAGCTCAGGCCTTCCAGGAACACAGGACGGTTGTTCGAGAAGCAAGTCTGGGCATGCATGCTGGGTGTGGAGCTAGGACACAAGTCCCCAGCAGAAAAGTCTCCTAATCATGCCATTCCCAGGAAGGTGAAATATGTCCAGAAGACAGCTGTCTTTGGAAATGACCCAAACTCAACTTCATTTCCAGAGCTTTTCTAGAGCTCTGCTGGTATATATTTCCCCCTAATCCATCAAAACACAATGAAACCTAAAAAAGCAACATTATTCACTTCCAGAATTTCCTGATGGAGGGGTAGCATCTTGTAAACTTTCGTTAGTGACACACACAGCTGATCTGAGGAGGTAGATGCTTGCTGCTGCCTTTGTAGACTTCAACAACAGATGAGGATGCAGCATACTCTTTGTTTCCCAAAATGCAAGCCAAAAAATAATCTATCACATGTAACGAGGAACAGGAGGGAAGGATGCTCCATGGATAAATTTAGCCCCTGACTCTTCAGAACAAGTAGCTCGAAGGAGCTGGGAAATTGAGCAGCTCTAAAAGCTCTGTCCCTGCTCTCGTGGTGTGACTGATCACCGTAAGCGTTGGTTAGGGGCAGAATGGTTGTTAGCATTAGCCCATGGCAACCCATGGGCTTTTTGTTTGATGAGTAATCTGCCCAGGATGCTAATTCAGCATGTTTGTAAATGGAAAGTAAACATGAAAGCTTTACAGCACATCTCTTAGGTAGCAACCATGGTTTAAGTATTTCTATGTTGTCCTCAGCTGTGAAACACACTTTCCTGGCCAGCCCACCCTAGAAGCATTTTTCAGACCTATTTCCTTCTACATGCAGTATCTTTGTACTCTATTTTGCAGGCACTTTGGCAAGAGCGAAGGCTCCTTCAGCTTAGACTTTAACTTGTAATGTGACTCAGGCAGTGAGTGCTAAGCCAGGCCATGTCATGACATTCACAGCAAGTGTTTGTGCCTTCAGAACAATTTACATGATCATACACAAAAAGCCTAGTTTGTGTGCTACAGCAAGGTTAAATGTGCATGTATTAACAAGATGCACTAATCCATGAAGTCACTCATGTCCAAACATTACACACTTTGGTCTGCCAAATTCAACAGAGAGTCGGGACAAAAACCATCAACTGGCCCCAGCTACGAATCTCTTCCTTGTGAAATGCCAACAGTTCCTCAACAACGGGAATCCAGGTGTTCATATACCTGTGATATTGTCATAACTCCTGAAATTCATTTCAATGTGATCCCACTCCAGCACCATGCAGTTCTCCATGCTGGGCTGTGCAATGGCTACGAACACATCATTCTTTGAGTTGAACGTATCCACTGAAACTGACTGGTAGGGCAAAATCTGGTGAACAACAAAATCTAGAAACATACATTTACAACAGTTAGGATACATCCTTGCTGGAAACACAGAGTAAGTGGTCACCAATTATAACAATTTACACTGAAAAATGAGTGAAATACTGTGGATTTTGTATAACACTAGCATGGAAGTGTCAGTGCTCATGTTAGGCATGCAGCAAGAGGGGAAAGCATCTCCTGCTTTAGGCATCATAAACTGTCCTCTGGAAATACAGTTGCCAAGGAGATCAAATAGGTAAATAGTGGCAGAAATCAGATTTTCCAGCTAGGCTGGCTGCTATCAATGAAATCAGGATATCAAGAGAGAAGTCTCTCCCCACAGCTGGAGGTTGCTTTCCCATCAAGTGAAATGGCCTTGCTAGAATCACTTTCAAGCTGAGAGACAGCAACTTCCAGCTGAAGTCCAATAACTTCTTAAGTCATGCAAATTTAATCACTAGCAATTTGTGTTATGCTAAACCAGGCAGAAAGTGAAACGATATCGGAAGTTTGCCTGGGGATAACCCCACTTCAGCTAGACCATAGACAAAATGGTGTAATCAAAAACTCAGTTAACATAACGTTTTATGGGGCATTGTAAAGTAGTTTAGGCATAAAATACAACCAACCTGCAAATTACTATCCAGTGGAAAACTTATTTTAGACACTAAGACTGAGGAGTTGGAGCAACCTGTAAAGACTAGGAGTGTAACTCCAAAATTCAAGATTTTTTTCTCAAAATCTAAGTGCCTTTGTAGATTTAACTCTAAAATTCACCCTGGGCTAAGTCAGCAGTTAGCACAGAGCCAATCTGGGGCAAAGTGAGGAGACCTGGGTCTGAATTTGATCTTTGGCCTGACAGCTGGGCAAGGTCATTATTATCAGAAAAAGAAACCGGTATAGCAGAGCTGACAAAGAAAAGCCAGAACTTGGGTCTAGAACATGACAGAAGGCCTGAGCTGAAGTGATGTATGGATATAGATACACAGAAAAAGAAATGCATCTTCCACTACGACAGCATCTCTCTGCAGAGCCACGCACTGCTCTGTTTCAAGCTCCATTTGCTACATGCCTTCACATCCACTCCTACGTTGGAAGGGCCTGAGCATCCAGGGATTTTGGTGAAATGGTAATTAAGTCCTCACTCCAGTCCCTCATTTTGGTGCATTATGAAATAATTGGTTTTGAATGAAGAACTCTCTGTCTCTGCATGCTTGAAAGCCTTGCCCTTGAGGAGTTACACTTCTGGAGAATAAAGATAGATGACTACCATTAAACAAACAGAGCAGATTCTACAGCTGCGAAAGAAATGACAGTCTCCATTCTTTGAGGGACTATTATAAATAGAGTTTGGGCTTGATTCATAAATGCTGGTAGGAAAACAAGAAAGTTATCTTCATTCTCACTGTGAAAATAAAAGGACTGGAGAAAACTGACACCAAAGTAGGCAGAAAGTAAAAGTGAGTGATAAATCATGAAAGGTAACTAAGGATGGAACAATAGCAGATGCAGTCACAGAAAATCAAAATATTTTTAAAATCTTGAGAAAAAAAAACCCCAAAAACTAATGCTGAAAAAGACATCTCTTGAAGTCTGAAGAGTTGTGAAACACTTTGAGGGAATCCGTGAATTAAAACAAACCAGTCTATGTTTTAAAACCCACTGCTCATTCAGAAATGATTCAGTGTTAACACAGCTATTTTTACTTGTACCTGTCATTGAGCTCTTTATGTGACTGGATGAGTAAAAATGGGTAACAAAATCAGTCATAATCAGTAAAAAGCAATAAATGTTGTTTTTAGCACCAGCTGGAAATATCAGACTCTAATGTGGAACAGGGTTACACAGTAAAGAGATGCTGCCGCATCAAGCTTGCCAAAAATTTACGTCTTGGGGGCTCGATTTAGTTTTACAGGCAGGTCCACATGCCTTGCTTTCGCACTAGAAAGAGCTCGTACAGTAAACACAGCGTTGGGGCACGGTGTTTCCCAACATTTTTCTCTTTTAAGCTGGACCAGCCTGCACAGGAGAGGGAAGAGGACGCGGCCCTCGCCTCCCCGCTGTGCCGCTGGCTGCCCGGGCTGTCGCTCTCCCCCTCTTGCCCCGATGCAGTTTTACTCTCCCCGTCTCCAGACAGGTGGTTTTGACACAGCTGAGGGCTGGGTTGGTCCCCCCGTCCTCCAGCCGCCCACTCTGCCTCTGCTCCCTCTGCTGTTGAACTGGCATGAGCCGTCATGGATGAGGGACCCAATGCTTGTGTTGTTGGGCTGATTTCCCTTCCGGCAGCCCCGGCTCTGGCTGATCCCCGCACACAGGAGCACCGATGCCGGCAGAGCAGAGCGGGGGGTACGCGTGGAACACTGGAGGACACTAAAGAGAACGGGGAGCGATGACCTGCTTGGGCAGCAGGTCCTAAACTGCCTCCTGCGACTCAGTCCCCCTCTCCTCACGTCCCTTCTTCCCCGCCATGGGGACTTCTACTCCAGGCGAGGCTACCTGGAACCCGGGGGGCTATCAGGGAGCCTTAGCCAGCCCTTCCCACCTGGCGGCACAGGTGATCTCCAGCACAGGAGCGAGTACGGAGCAGGTTAACTCTGAATTTGCAAACTGCCTTCCTTCCAGCCAGTGGGGAAAGAGAAGACCACCTCCAGAAGCCAGTCCCAGCTAGGTAAAGAAAGGGAAACCAAGCTTCTAAAGCTCGGTGAGATGATCCCAGCCTGCGGGTCTAGGCAAAGCAGGTCCCAGGCACGCACTCGGCCTGCTTCCAGTGACTCTGGGAGCGTGAGGCCCGTTTTCCAGTCTCCTGAAAGTAAGTTACATGTTCCTCTGCCGTGCTTACAGCCACAGCACAGCCCCCTCACGCACTGTTGTGGGAGAAAGACAAGAAACGCAGTAGAAATGGCTTAACCTGCTTCCATAATGCAAGCCGTGACAAATTAAAAAGAGATGCTATCACTAAAAAAGTTAAAAGTGCAGACCACCAACACAGTGAATCGCTTTCTCTGTGAAGAAGCAACAGGACCGTGTTGTTCTTTGGCTTTTTTTTTTATTTTTAATTTGGCAGCACCTCTTTCCATCTCTCCTCCTGTTACCATTGTAGCAGTTCAGCGAATGCAATGAACTGATGGAGCCGCCGACATGCATGTTTTACCAAGCAAACTGCTTTGTTACCCCATCCTACATCCAGTCACGCTCGGCACACAGTACCAGAGACCAGAAATGATGGAAAGTCTGATCACACCTGGCAAAGGAGGGAAATACGATACTAAAGACTAACATGAATGAAAGAGGTTTGCAGAGCACTGCCTGTCTCCGAGTGGGAAAGGAGACTACACCTACAGGGTATGTTGCTTTACTTCAGAAGCCTACTTACAAGCCTGAGCCTGTGACTAATCAGTCCTCAAGGAATGAATGTGGGCATATTTACGCTCCCTTTGGACCTGGGGGAGGCAATGGCAGAGAAGGAAAAAGCAGCTGTGGCCTGACGCCGCAGACCACCAAGGCCACCGGAGGGTTACAGCTCCAGCAAGGTAACTTCCAGTTCAGCGCAGGGGACACGATGCTGTCTCTGAGGTGACACGTTCCTGAAGACTTGCATTTCTGCTCTACTAATCTCTGTTTTGTCCCTTGCGGGTGACTTCTGCATGCAGTCTGTCCCTCTCGGACACTTTGTAAGGATGCTAGAGCTCCACGTCTTCTGCACCCCCACCTTCACTATGCGCTGGAGCTCTGGGAAGCCCGCTGCTGCCCACCCCCAGGCCAGAGGGGTTAGGCACACAGCCTTCCCTTACAGCAGCCAGAGAATGACTGGATTGAAATCGTCCTTTACTATCCGAAGAGCGCATTAATTACAGCTATACACTGTGCTGCTGCGAGAGCACTTCTCTGGTGGCTTTTGAACAAATATTCAGCTGGGCAATCCTTGCACCACATAACGCCTTAGCTCCCCAGCAAACTCTACAGCATGTGAAATTAGATTTATGCTTGGTGTAATTTCACTTACAGCAGACAAATGGACTAACATGAAGGGTGAACTTTGCCTGCAGCAACTTTATAGTTAGGTTTCTAGGTACAAAGAGATGACAGAGGGCAGGCAGGTTAGTATAGGTCTGAGGACCAGGTAGGTAAGGCTTGTTCTCGCACACTGTTAGTGCTGCACAATTGCTTAAATTGGACTGAAACGAAATAAAGCCTGCTTTTACTTTGTACTTTTGCATCTTGGTGATTCAGCAGACACAGGAACATAACTTTGGTACCGTTCTAAGCTACGTCACTCTCCTGTTTTGACATCCTTTTATGTAGCAGGTAATCACGCTTTACCTCTGCTGCTCTTCTGACATGTTTCTGAATTCTGAGTTCATTCTCTTTTCCTTTACGTACTGCCCTTGGATTACCTTTCACACCTTGTCCTGAAACTTTATTTTACATTACTGGTAATCAACTTTTCTGTTGTCTTTTAATGATGATGGCTGCCTTGATGACAGATGAGACCTCAAATGCCTCTGATATTACTGTATAGAAAAAAGGCAGAGCGCTGACTTCATATACCTGAAAAATGCAAAACAATACTCGCAGCTGATATTCTCAGTTATATGATGTGACTACATTTAAAGATAGGTAACTGCAGCTGTTCGGTTATAAAATATAAGCAAAACGTCATGCAAGTTTCTATTCACTTCCTTCAGCATGCTTTACATTACCTAAAATAAAAATCAAGATCCTAAACAAGACAGTAGTCAGAATATTATTGGACATTTTTCTCCAACTTAATGGAGTTCCATGAAGAGCTGCTGGCAGTATTGCCATCACATTTGATGCTATTAAATTGTGGCCTACTGAATAAAGATAACAGATATAGCCACATTATCTGAGCTTCTTTTCATTGCTTTCTGTGAAATAGAGAGATTTTGGGAAGCTCATCTGCCATAACTATATGGCCTTATTCCAGATAATAGAAAGCATTCTGTGATGAAAATTAAGTTACAAAGTGAGTCATAATCAAGTCTTTTGGAATATGAATAGTCAGAGCTCTTCTCCCATTATCACTTAATCCAAATAAAAACTCGCTACTTACTTTGGCTTCAAAATGTAATTTTCCCATTTTATGCTTCCTCTGGTACTCGGAAGTGCTTTGTATGTAACCCTTTCCTCCCCCCCAGGTCATGCTCACAGAAGCAAAAGGGTATAGTCTAAACTTCTGATATATAACCATTTGTAGTGTGCTTAGAAATATACATTCTGAATACCTGTAGTGGTGCATTCATAATCAAAACTTGTCACATCATTTAACTTCTTATCCTGATATTCTGCTGGACCAATACACAGGACATCAGAAACAGTGGAATTTGTCATCTTTAACCACAAAAACAACCACTTGGCTTTGCAGTCACACTCAAATTTATTTCCCCTTAAATCTCTAAAAAAACACACAGAAATAAACATATTTGAAAAGGTTGATAGCAATATGAATACTGCAGAACTGTTATCACCTTGACATGCTGAATTTAAAAATATCTGAGTAGCCTTGAATGGGTTTTGAACTGAGAACAGAAAAGTTTCTTAAGTTTTATTCGGACTCTCTTAGTATGGACTCTCCTTCACTGAGTGTTGTCCTTGAAAAAAAGTTTCAATCTAGGAAATATGCCTACGTATAATCTTACTAATAGAGCAATGTGATTCATGTATGAAGTCACTCATGTTTATATGTTTTCATAGGAGTAGGACTATAACGTAATAAATCCTGACAGTGTGGTTGTCTGCTGCAAGCCTCCATCCCACCATCTACCGCTGACACAGAGAAATCCCATTCCTTCACTAAACTACTCCAATACCGCTGGTTGACAGAGTGGCCTTGCTGGTACCATTTCTGTGTTACATTAAAATACAGATGTAAGGCTTGTATTTTTAGAGTCGCTGCTGATGTGGAGTGAATTTAACCTCCCCCTACTAACGTATGTGCAATTTCAACACTGTAACTGTTCTTCAATCCCTTGGCAATTTTTGTGGCTTACAACTATACTTTGCTATTTGGGAGAGCCAGGCCAAAAATAGGGGAAGCTGACTAGCAGCTCTGTTATACAAGAAAACACTGACAGTAAGTCAGCAATATGCTACAACTGCACAAAAACAAGAAAAAAAGCTTTTTTTTTTTTTTTCATGAATGCCGTTTACTAAAATAATCTCAGGGAATACATGCAACAATAACAGGAAAAAATGCTCAGAGAAATTGTAGTTTTAAAATTCGTTGTCTCCCCTTCCCTAAAAACAATTCATATGAAACATCACAAAGAAGTACAATAATGCAAGCTATATACAGCACCACGAGAAGCAGCAGTGATTTGAGAAATAGCAGTTATTTCAGAGGAGTCTACTAAGTAAACAATTTTAAAATGAGAAAAGATAGAACAACAAAATGCACGTTTCTTTTCTGTGCAGATATCAGATACAGCACCAAGCAAACCCAGAATGTAAAACTCAGAGTAACAGAGTGACAGAAGCAGGCAGTCAACAGAAAGATTCTCATTACTTACAGTTCAATTAAAGAATCTAAATCACTGAAGACATCCCTTGGCAGAGCTTTGAGATGGTTATTGGCCAAAGAACTAGAAAAGAAAGTTAGAGCTTAGTATCATTGCTGTCTCTTGTCTGGCTGACTCTTACTAAGTCTGAGCTCACTTACACGTTGTTAATTATCTGGTACTGTCTAGCCATGGCATTGTTAATAGTTACGAGGAACAGGCACATATTAATTATTCTCATTCAAGGAAGGAGATTGCTTGAAGCTCATATAAAAGTAAAATATATAAAGCTTTTTTGTTGCCCAGGTGCAAATGTAGCACAGAGAGCAATCACTGAGCGCACTGAAAGGAAACAGGAACGTTAATGGCGAGTAGGTAGTGTCGTGGTGGTACCCACAGGTGCAGCACCCACAGGTCACAGCCGCACCCCCGTACAAGCTGCGAGGGTGCGCAGGCAGCCGAACATGCTGCAGTGCTGCCTGAGCAGGAATCTCTTAAAGGCCGTTTTTAATTTGCGGAAGGCACGTTATTGACAGCGGGAGGAAGCTGACGCACGGAGGGGAAGGGAGATTTTCTGTGTAGCGGGAAAAGCAGCAGTCCCCCAGAAGAGTTTTGTTCAAGTACAAATTACTCTATGAAGTGTTAAACAACTTACAGATGAGTCAGGTCTCGAAGGCCACGAAATGCATTTCTTGAAATGGTTTCAATTTTGTTTCCTTCAATGAATCTAGGCAAAAAAAATAAATATTTTAAAAGACTTTAATCAGCACTACAGTTAGCATCACCAGTGCTTTAACCTATGTTCTCCAAATTCAGCAGGTTCCTGGGCCGCCCCTTCAGACTTAAAGGCGGGGAAGTCTCAGTGGAGCCGCTCACATTCCCTGTTTCCCTTTCCTCAGGTGGACCGTGAGGAACGATGCAGGTACCGGGCAGCACGAGGGAGAGTGCGTGACACAAATATCCAGCAGAAGAGGAACAAAATGAACAAAGCAAAAAACATTATTCCTCTGTTGGTTAATCCTCTCGAGGTGTGTTATGTGAGGCAAGAGACTTGTGTCGGAGAGGCCTCTGAGATGGACTTTAGAAGCTAAAGTCCCACCTTCCTCTCACAAATCGCCCGCATTTTAAAACCACGGGGCAGCACAGCAGCGCTGGGGCTGCCCGGGCTCAGATGGACGCCGTGACGGGGAGCTCCCGTGGCTGCACGCACAGTGCCATCTCCGCACCCAGAGCCGTGACGTGAACTGCAGCTACACACTGGTAGACACCTGAAGTCTGCATCAATGGCACGACCGCTGCCTTGTTTTTCTTCTAGCTGCCGCAGTTCAGCTCTCTCCCGCCGGGATGCCACCTCTGCAGGGTGCCCGACTGCACACAAGTCATGGCCCCGTGCGCTGGGGAAATAATGACAGGCAGGTATCGATTCCAGGAACACGCTGCTCCTCCTGACTGCATGTCAGCATTTAAAGAAAGAGCTGATATTTAAGCATCTTGACCCCCGAGCACTTGAGGCTGCATCCCTGAATATGCCATCAGCCCTGCAAAGTGATTGCAGCCAGGTGACCATCAAGATATTGCATAGTACGGCTGTACCTGGATGAAGACAACTGCATGCTGACTTTATAAAAGGTTTTATGAGATAAAAGTCTGTCCCTTCCTCCTACGCATTCTTGTTTGCCTTCCGGGGAAATAGAGGAAAAATGCTGTGGGCCAAGGTCTCTTCTCAAGAGAGACAAGATGGGGATGCAGGAGACAACAAGTGTTCTCGGTTCTGCAATTTAGGCACAGCCAAAATCCTTCATGAAGTGACCATGACCCTGACTGCAGGCAAAGGGTGCGGATGAGAAACTTGTGTCCACCTGGGGGACGTCAGAAGAAGGTCAGCCGTACTCTGTTACAAGGCTGCCTGGGGACATGAATTCAATCTGCAGAACAGAGAGCCAAACTGCCTCCTGACACCCTCACCGGCACCTGGCATCGCCGCACAGCGCCAGCTCACCGGTCCGTGCAAATAAACACAGCTTCACTGAACACACTGCAGCAAGATGATGGACATTCGGGCTGAGACTCAGTAATGTGCCGGATTCCTGAGTCACCAAACCTGGCCTCGAAGGGATGCTACCCTGGGAACGCCACTCTGAGCACCAGCAAAGGTCCCGTCTTTATCAGACCTGTCTTATCCAGACCCTGTACATGGAGCCAGTTAGTTTCAGGGCGCATTGAATGCCACTATCAGTGCTGCAAGTGCAGCAGGACACAGCTGGAGAGAGATAGATAGATATAGGTATCTGCTGTGGGTGCTCCCCAGCTGCTCTTCATCCAGAGACTTTGCTTTGTACACAGAGAAACTTGTCATTCTTGGTTGTCAGTGGGGTTTTCTTATTCTCCGTAAGGTCTGATCACTGCTTAACTGAGAGACATGAGTTACTGAAGCTGTAACGGTGTTACTGGCTGCATGGCAAAAACAACCCCAGAGAAAGGCCACTCGCAGCCAGCCCCCAAAAGGCAGAGGTGTGATTTGCTGGGAAGAGGAAGAGCTCTGTGGACTTGGCAGGGAGGACGACCACAACCATTAACCGAGAGCACTTGTTCAGCTGCTACTAAAGGAAACTGAAACTGTAAGACTTTGCCAGTCTTCACTCTGCTCCCTGCTTTGCAGCTGGCAGCCAGGGACAGAGATTTCCCCATTGACCAGCTGAGGAGGGGCAGGATTTTCTTCTTTCAGACAGGGGCTCTGGCTGCAGTTACCAATGCAACCGCTACAGCTGCATATGACGCTGGGACAAGCTCCATGTTAGACTCATCAGCACTTGAAAGCAAGTCATTAATGAAACAACATACAAATGTTTTTCTTCCTTTTTGCAAACATTCTGCAAATTACTTTTTTTTCCTGCAGACACATGGAAAAGAGAATGGTTAGACAACTCGCTATTGCTGAAAAATCCAGATGTAGCTGAATCGTGGATTTCAGCACATACCATTTACCATTATCCTCTATTTCCTGGTCTGCAAATTCCATTGTTGGCTGCTCCGCACGCAGCAGACTATAGTCCTGAGTATACCCCACCTTAATACCTACTTGCCTGCAAGGCTTTAGCAAGAAACAGTTTTGTGAGCATTGGTCTTCCTTCAGAAAAAGGCAGAAATGTTTTCCGCAGCTACCTTTCAGCATCGGAAGGTGGGTGGAAAGATGAATTTTTTTCAGATCATATTCAGAGTTTCAAACGTACCAGCTCATGTCCGGTAACACAGAGAAATGGCAGTCCTTTGGAGTATGAAGTGAGGACAACCTGGTACCAGGGCTAATACTTTTTTTTAAAAGAAAAAAAAGGTGACCTAAAAAATAAAAAAAAAAAGATAGGGCAATGAAGGTAATGTAAAAATCAATAAAGAAGTGAACTAAGTAAAGAAAAGGAAAGTTAAATAAATTTAAATAATAATATAGATAATTACAATCATTTATATTATATGAAATATAATTTCATATTCATATATTTGTAATTATTTATAATATAAAGATAAATGCCACAGGCATTAAGTGGGATATGAGATCAAAGACGAAGTTGGAGAGGAAAGTTTAGGGGAAAAGAAGCAGTCTGGTAATCAGGGTTTGTTCTGGGCAGTACACGGATACTCTGCACCTCCTCTTTAGGCTGCCAGCAGGCCCAGAGAGCCTTCCCCACCTCTTTCCTGAGGTTCAAAACCCTTCGACAGTGATGGCACTGTTCTGGAAAGCCCGGACAAGCTCTTGCTCAGCAATGCTTTTTTGGCGTACTGTAGTTGCACAGAGCCACCTTTCATTCACGACATATTTTAAAAATCCACTGCAACCTCTGAAAAGTGGTGAGCCATCGTAAAGGACATTTGCACAGGAGTGGAACATAAATCCTTCATCTCCCCTGCTCCTGGGAATCAGAGTAAAGACTAAGACTCCACGGCAGGAGTCTTGGCAATTGATCAAAACATCTTGATTTATAAAGGACAGGGGAAGACATAAAATAAGAAACTTACAGGTATTCTAGATGGAAGAGACCAGCAAAGGCATCATCTCGTATAACAGTGAAGGAGTTGGAGTTCAGCAAGCTGAAAATGGAGAGCAGGCATTAGGAAAGCACATTAAAACTTGACACACTGGATTATGCCCGTTGTGTTTATTGCCCATGACCAAACTAATCTTACTGACTCGAGCCCATATTGCCACACCAATGCAGCACACATAAAATACTGTGGAATGGTCTATAAAAAAAAATCCAAGGCATAATGTGATGCTAGTTAACGTCCACTACTCCCCAGGAAAAATGTTCGCTGTGCATTCACCTTGGTTAAATGCAACCTGGTCCTTGACTCTCTGGTCCCCTGAGCAGGACAAGCCGTCCTTAGAGGGTAGGTCTGCTGAGTGTGGACCCCAGTTGCCCACCACGCCTCCAGCCCCACCAAAAATTTTCAGAGACCGTCTCAGCAGCACTCCTGAGCTCCCAGAAAGGGGGGGAGCCCTTTTGTGCAAGCACAGGCTCCCATTTGTGCAGTCTCGGTGGATCAGGACTCACTCATCCTGGGCTCCCAGGGGATGCTCCAAGCTTGACCTGCAAATGGGCTACAGCCCGCAGCATCGGGAGGAGACCACGCAGTTCATGCCAGCTGGAAATGCAGACGTGCCCAAACCACCAGAGACAGAGTCCTGCTTCCCTTGCAAAGCAAAACCCTGTGTCCACGGGCAGCGAGGAAGAGCGGTGGTACTGCCTGCTGCAGGCATTGCCTTGCCCTCCAGTGTGAACTTCAGGGACAAAACGTGTTAGAGCTGTGCTGGAGCAGTTGTCACCTGAGCCAGGACAAGGCGGTCGGGGAGAAGGATGCTTTGGAAAGGCTTTGCCAGCAAAGTTCCTTCTTTGCTGGATCAAAGCATAACGATCTCCAGTGTTGATGTTCAAAGGCACAGAGAGTGATCTTCTTTTAGGAAAATAGCAAAACTTCTAATTCAGTCAAAAAATCAAATGCTACTCAAAAGAAATCATTTTGGGAAAATCTCAGAATTTTCTGCTATGAGTGAATATATCTGCACTAATTGCTTTATTAGACTAACTTTTTAATCCTCTTTGTATGGTTTTAGGCATTTTACTAAAATTAATTTAGAAAACTAAGGAACATGAAATGCAAACTTTCCCTGTGATCCTCAGTTATTATGCTAATACCAGACAAATGCTCCTTATATTATCCCAAAGAAATCTGACAAAGAAGCAGACCACCATCAAAAATAAATCCTTGCATTACTGCTTTACCATGCCTACTGCCACAGAAGACATAGTCCTGAGGTACCCAAGTGCTCAATGCATCTCTTCTGTCATTTAATCATTCTTTTTTTCTCATGTTTGAAGGGCAAATTCACAAGTTACACTAACCAACACAATTTGTCAGGGCCCAAGCTGGTGGTAGTGGCGACAAACCCCTCTCACTCCCATGTCTGGTCTACCGCACAAACTGACAAGGGCAACTCCTGACTTTCTCAGCAACTGACCTCCGCCCCACCACCCCACACACCGCACCGTCTCCTCCTGGAAATCTACTGCAGCTAATGAAAAGGGATAACCTTCATCTGCACTTCCTCCCTCTTCTCGGTACCACTATCCATTCCCATGCAGATTCCCCTCATCTCCAACTTTCCACCCACGGTTTCTCTCGGCCCACCCTTGGATTCATCCCTCTCCTTCCCAGCTGGCACGAGTCTGCTGTTTGCCCCCGTTCACAGGTGGGCAAAGTCCCCCTGCCCGCTGCCCAGGGCTCTGCACTGGCCCCCACAAAAACTTGGGTTTGGGACCAGTGCCACGCTGAAGAAGGTGAAAGCCTCCATCCCTTGCTTTGTCCGCTTCTCCCCAGCATTTTCCATGGGGTGCTGCCACCCCCCAAATAGTGAGACAGGCCTTTGAGAACGAGGTGGGGGTGCCTGAGGAGAGGACCTGGCCATCACGCTACCAGATGCCTTTAGGGACTGCCTCTAGCTAAGACCAATTTTAACATCTAGCTCTGTGGCAAGCACTTAGCCTGGGGTTCTGGCATGCCTCGCGTCTTTTTGCCGAACTTTTCTTCGCAGAGTGTTTTTGCTTTGGGGGTAGCCTGGTCCTTATAGGGGGAGACGTGGAGGGTCCGCTTGGTATTGGGCATTACAGGCAGGCTGCAGTGGGCTAGGCAGGGCGCAGGCAGCGGCACGGCTTCTCCGCCGTCTACCTGAGAAACGAGTATGTGGGCTCCCCAGGGGAGTTGTACTGCACCCCGTATCTCTGCGCCTTCCCTGCTACTGCCTCCCAGGATGGCTAAATTAAAGCAAGTTTCGGTAAGCTACCGCAGCTCCAGTTGCACACCTGACTGCAACACCAGCACGACCAAGCGATGTGCCCGAGGTCAGGAAGGAGGGAGGGCTGCAGAGTACCGGGAGCCGGACTCCTGTCCCTCGGGACAGAGGGCCATCCCGCCTGCAGGTCCATCGGGTCGGAAGGCACCCGAGGGGCCACCCTCCGAGTCGGACGCCGAAGCACAGAGTCATGCTGCAGACAACGCCAGCACTTCACGCACAGAGCTTTTCCTCTGAGGTGCGTCCCGGCAGCCTCCGCTTGCCCCCCATCGCACCCGCAACGTCCCAAAGCCAGCGCGAGAGTCCGGGGCACAAAGTGAGCAGGAGCGAGGGCCACCACATGACTTTGGGGGGGGGGGGACTCAGCCCTAAACTTACTAAAGCTGAAATTTAAAAAACAAAAAAAAGGGAACGTAGGGCATCAGAAAGCATTTTGTCCTACTTAAGTAACTAAATGCACGTTTTATGAAGCGGTTTACGAGCGGAAAACGCATCCCTCCGTTGCAAAAGGGCAGCTACCTCAGCCGAGCTGCACGAAAGCTGGGGATTTGCCTCCCTCTCCCCAAGGGCACCCCTCGCTCTATTTCGGAGGCGCGGGCCGAGCGCTAATTGGCCGCTGCCTTTCCCAGGGCCATTACTTACAGCAGCTGCAGGGAGGGCAGGTGGGAAAACATCCTGTCCTTGACTTCGGAGAAGGTCCCGTTTACCAGGC